GCGTGTCCAAAGTATGTCAGATGAAGCCCCAGAATCCTTGTCTCCAAGGAGTAGCTTGGTTTAATCCTCTCCAGGATGAATCTGTTTGTTTTCCTGGCAGTCCATGGTACATTCAGTACTCTTCTCCAGCACCACAGCTCAAAAGCATCAACTCTCCTGTCCTCTGTCCTCCCTAGTCATTGTCCAACTCTCTGGTGCATAACAGGCGATTGCAAAGACCATGGCCTGTATCAGGGGCACCTTAGTCTCCAGAGAGACACCGTTGCTCCTGAGTACTTTAGAGAGGTCCCTAACAGCAGACTTTCCCATTGCAATACGCTTTTTGATTTCCCGACTGCTGGTGCCAAGAGTGTTGACTGTGGAGCTGAGCAATACCTAGTATGTCAATGTTTATGTGTTCCATTTCTTTCTTAAGAATATTTAGTTTTCCTACATTCATGGTTCTTACATTCCGTGTTCCAATCACTAGTGTCTCCTTACAGCTGTTCTTCCTTCTATTTGATTCCATACTTGAGGGCTCAGCCTCAGTTGCCATATCTGCTAGTCTAAGTGTGCTTTGTTGTACATAGGTAGGGCTTTCAAAGGCCTGCTACTTCGGACATGGGTGACCAATACTTCTTCCTAGTCTGTCTTAATTTGATTGCTCAGATTTAGAACATTGTCTGACAGACAAGTGTTTTACAGAGAAGAGCTGACTAAAGATATTTCCCAATAGTAGAAAAAGACAAATAGGTTCTGTATTGTCTTCACCCTTGCCAGGTGTGTTTTGAGCCACCCCCTTTCCCTGCTCCACCAGCATTTATATCTACTCCCACCTGCTCTGTTCAACAACAATCTCCCCTTCACCATCCCTTGAAGCATGGCCTATATGTCAATCTTTCTGGGCTTCTGTGATTCCTAATGCCTCAACATTCTCTTGGATCACCTTTCTTGAGAATAGGAACAAATATGGATCTCTTCTAGTCAGGAAGCTATTTTTCTTGGCATAGACTGGTGAATACTTGAAAAGTTATAATTGTTATTTGAAACATGTCAGTTGGTAGTAACCTATTCATTCCTGGGATCTTATTTTTTGCCAATTCCTTAAATACAGTTTCCTTCATTACCATTGGATTTTGGTCATACGGTACTTCTGAAATATTTCTGTCTTGGCCAGTTGTTTGTTTGGTTTTTTTTTAATAGTGACTCTGTATTACCTCCTTCTTCATTGATGCTTTCTGGATCATTCAAGATTTTGCCCATTGCATCTCTGAATATTGCAACTCAAGGCTTGAGTTTGTTTTTAAGTTCTTTCAATTTGAGAAATAATGAGTGAATTCTTCCCATTTTAGTCTACACATTCCATTATAATGCTTTGCTTTGCCTTCTGGAGCTGCTGTTTGAAATTTATTGGTCAGCTTTTTTTATATTCAGGTAGGATAGACTCAAGGTCATAATTTTCTTTCTTGTGGACTTGTTTTCATTTTCTTCAACCTTCATTTGAACTTGCACATAATTGATGTTCAAACATTTTGGAGACTATTGAAAAGGTTAACTACATATTCTGATGTTCTTTATAGCTACCACCTTTACTTAGCATGTGAACAGCCTTCAGGAAAATACAAGGAAAAGATAGGAAGCCTATTTGAACTTGGCAAACTAAGTCTACTTTGATTTAGGTTTCTGTTTCTACAAAGGCAGATTATTTTAAAATTCCCATCTTACTGTTCATACTTGATTTTTTTTTACTCCATTATTGTAGAAAACTAAAGGTAGACCTATGCTCATTTTTAATAGTAGCATTAACTCATGAACTAACCTCTGATGGTACTCTTATTTGTGTATGTAGTCTTTCAACCATGTGAAGGAAGGAAGAATGAATTTCTACTGCCAAAACCCTACATGCAATAAACCTGAAATGACATAGTGCATGACTTCTGTGTTGTAAGGAGCTTGCCCAATTGAGTCATCTTCTTCCAACCAAGAAGAATTTTCAAGCTAAAGACCAACAAGAATCTAGCCAGCTCTAGCAGATAGAAAACTTAAAACCTGAAGAGATTGAATAGTTTTGCTGCCTATAGAATTAATATTGCTGTTACATGCTATTGAATATGACTCAACAAATCTTTGAACAGATCTGAATCCTGTCCTATCCTACGCCATCCTCTTCATACTTGAGCCCAAAATGCTGCTGTCATTCCATCTCATTGAAAATCTTCCTCCTCTTTGCTGGCTTTTCACAGCCTGATGTTTTTCCCCAGGGAAAAATGTTTCTAGCAACATTCCCAAAGTATGTGAGATGAAGCTTCGCTATCCTTGCATCTAAAGACCATTCTAACTCAACCTTCTCCAGATACCTGTTTGTTCTTTTGGGAATCCATGGGATGTTCTGTACTCTTCTCCAACTCCATAGCTCAAAGCCAGCAATTTTTTTTTCTGTCATCCTCATTCGTTGTGCAGCTCTCAGAGGTACAGCAAGTGATTAAAAAAGACCATGGCCTGAATCAGGTGCACATTAAATTGACGTCAGTACTTTGGGGAGGATACTGACAGCAGACTTTGTTAACTGTGTAGAGACCAGAAAATGGGACATGGGGCACAGGGTTATGAACATCCCTATGAAAGAAACAGAGTGAGTGAGAATAGCCCAGTCCCATGGTGCCTCTAAAGCCACACCAGCAGCAAGAGGTTCATTTATTCATTGATGACTCACAGACTGTGGTATTGAGAGTGAGATTTATTAGGGAAGTAAGTTGGAGAATGAGGAAGGCAAAGAATATTAACTCAGTTCAAGTCTAGGCTCCAATTTCAGTTCACAATCAGCTTTTTCCTCCATCCAGCAAGAACAGCAACACCTTTAACTGTGGCATTTATCCCAGGGCTAGTCTGGTTGCACCTTGCCACAGTTCTGTCCACAGCAATGCCATAGTCTGTCCACCACCATCACCAGGGTCTTGCTCTCATCAGGGTCTTGCTCCTGTCTGTCTCAGATCTTCCCCCTGCTCAGTATGAGCAGCACACTCTCCTCTCATATCCTAGTCCTCCTACAACTGTTGATGATGTGTAAAAGCATGTGTCTGCAGTTAAGGTAACTGGAGACCAGAGGGGCCTAATGTAATTGCCAGGAAAGCCAACTTTTATGCTAACATTGCATCAACATATTATATCTTTTGACTTCTTGACTGTTGGTACCAAGGCTGTGTTTGTGGATTCAGGATGAAGTTAGTGACAATTTCCATCTTTTGTTCATCTGTGAGACGTTGACTGTCAGCCCAGTGGTAAGAATTTTTGTTTTCTTGACACTGAGATGTAGTCAATTTTGAAGGCAAGCCCTTCAGTCTTCTTCACTTTCAGAGAGCAGTGTTCTGTCATGTGTATAAAACAAGTTGTTGATGAGTCTTATTCCTATCCAGATGCTACATTTTTCTTCATAAAATTCAGTTTCTTGAATTATTAGTTCAGCATTCAGATTAAGTAAGTATGGAGAAAGGATATGGCCCTAGTTAGTAGTAAAGGGAAGTAATGAATTAGTATATCATTGAGTACAAGTTGATCTTTCTGCCATCCTATAGCATTTTCTTTAAAACAGCTTGTACTATATTCAAGAAGCATTTATGAAATATTCCAACTTAACTGAAGTGGAAGACACCACAACTATATTAAAAGACTCATGTAGGAGACTACTTGATTTCCACACAAACTTTTAAATACTTCAAGAATTCAATACATTTATTTTATCATAGATAATCACACTTAAGTTACTTGTTTTTCTGACTTTAATTAAATGCTGTGTAAGAACCACTTACCAGCTAATTTTGTTTCTTCTAATATTTAATAGAAATTGTTCTTAGTGTTTATATCCTATAATCTATTTAAATTGATTTGTTCTCCTTTGCTATCTGAATAGCCTTTATTGTTCTTTATACCATTTTCCTTCATCAGAGGAATTACTTTTTCAACCCAGAAAGTAGGTTATATAGTTTTTAAAAGTAGTTTTCTTAAAATTAAGGCTTCAGAATGTTCTGAAAGATTTTTTGTTTTCTTCTTATTTTTTGTGTGTATACCGTCAAATCAGATCTGACTGGTACAGGAGGAGATTGTCCCTCCTTCTCCAGCAGGGCATCTGGTGAATTCGAACTGCATACCTCTGGGATTGCAGTGCAGCTTCTTGTCACTAGGCCACCCTAGAGCTCTCCCTTCTGAAAGAATTTTTTTTTAATTTTTATTTTTTATTATTTTTGTGTGCGTGTACCGTCAAATCTGATCTGACTGGTACAGGAGGAGATTGTCCCTCCTTCCCCGGCAGAGCATCTGGTGGATTCGAACCATTCGCCTCTGGGATTGTAGTTGCAGCTCCTTGCCACTAGGCCACCAGAGCTCCCCTGAAAGAATTTTTTAAAAGTCATTTAGTCACTTTATAAAAGATGAGTTTAAGTTGAGTGGGGAGCAGCTAACTCTATATCTCTGAGGTTGTCATTATAATTTACACCATTAAAAACCATTTTATTTTACTCAACAATAGTCTTTTTCTTTAACTCATTTGACTCATTACCATTTTTGTCAGTGTGGATGAAGGAAACATAACCCTTTTAATTTCATTTTGTAAAATAAATTTCTTAAGATATGTCTAATTTGTGATTTGAATTAGTATGATAAGCATTTTAGGGACTGTTGGATTTGGAAGTTTAAAAAGCATTTGAAACTTTTTGCCAGTGTCATTGGTATGTATAAAAATGTAATCAAAACAATGACTTTGTGATATCTTACATAATTGTTAGTAGACAGTAGAAAATAAGACAGTTGCTAAAGAAAATGGATCAGTTTTATTTGTACTTAAATAGATGGAAAAAGTATGAGCTGTCTTTATTATATTAAATGTGTAGGGTCAAGTTCTGGGAGGGCTCTTTCTTTACCTCACTCTAGACCTGTCTAGACCTGTTTGCTTTTATGAGTATTTCTTGGAGGTTTTGTTTCATGTGATTTCAAGGTTGGTTAAGTACTTTATTTTATTTTATTCTCAGATATGGAGAGAAAAACAATGCCTTCATTGTTGCCAGCTTTGAACATGAGGATGAAAACAAAGATGAGATCTCCAAGAAAGTTACTCGGGCACTTGATAAGGTTACCTCTGATTATCATTCAGGATCCTCTTCTTCAGATGAAGAAACCAACAAGGAAGTGAAACCCAGTTCGGTGACTGCAGCCCCAAGCCCTGTGTACCAGGTAACCAGGAAACAGCTCCATAGTGAAGAGCATGAGCAGAGCTTGCTAGTTTCTCCAAAGAAGTTGCTTTTGTGTTACCAAAGATTTCTGATCTAAGATTCTAGATTCTGCATTAAAGAAAAGCTAGACCCCTGTGAAAAAGAACAAGTGGTGCATGAGGATGCCACATCTGACCTTTACCAACTTCACAAAGGATCACTATCTGCATCAAAGGCATCAGCAACACAAAACCAATTCCCATGTTGTCAGCCATGTCCCCCATGTTCCCATGCCTCTTTCTACTCATCTCAGCATCAGTCTTTATTGGGTCCAGAATGCAGTGCAGTAGCTCACAGCCTTCACAGAACCATATTGGCAACGTCAAAGGGTTATCTAGGTTAGTAACAGAATACAGTCAGGACATTTTCTGAAATGTGCTCGTAGGTGCCTTAGCCTTAAGCCAGATGGCTTTAGACCTGTGTTAAAAAGTTCTAAGTCCTACTTATGGCTCTTCCCTCCTCCATCCAAGTCCTCTGGTTGTCCAACAAATTTGGGTAAAATCTCATATGTGAGCTACGCCTCTGAAAATCTGCCAGAAGGTCAGCTACGAGTTGGTTCCAGCTCAGTGGCAAACAACAGTCCCTTGCCATGTTCACAATATCTACTCTGTTTAAGCCCGTTGTTGGTGGCCACTCTGTCAGTTCATCTTATTGGAGGTCTTCCTGTTTTTCATTGAAGGAATACAGCCTTGATGCATACTTCCTGGGTTTTATGTCATGCAGTAGTATCCTCTTGTTCTCTTGGAACAGCTGCTGCTCAGTTAATGTACAAGTTCTACCAAGCACAGTTTTCTGCCATTTAAGTATATCAGTCAAGATAGTCTCTTGAAGGCAGCTCTGGTGGCCTAGTGGCAAGAAGCTGCACTACAATCCGAGGTACAGCAGTACGAATCCACCAGATGGTTCTACTGGAGAAGGAAGAACAATGTCCTCCTGTACCAGTCAGATCCACTTTGACGGTACACACACAAATAATAATACATAGTTTAAAAAAAGATAGTCTCTTGATGGCAAATAACCACAACTGATTCATAGCTGACCCTCCAGTAGGTGTTGGAAGGCTGTAAATCCCACAGGAGGAGATTGACTCCCAGAGCCACTGTTGCGTTCAAACTGCTAGAGAGGCTGTCTTTGAGTTAGCAGTGCCGCTCCCTTCAGTGTGATCTAGCTTGAGTTTCTGGCAGTTTCATATTGATTTATTTTTTTATTTCGTATTTATTTATTTTTTTTAAAAGGCTTCAGGTCTTTTATTCATGGTATCACTATGAGTCATGCCCAACTCAACAACAATCAATAAAAACAATTCCTTTATAATATTCAGTTTTACAGTCATTCATGTACATTGTTTCATTCATAATACATTTTATTGTTGTTGTTATATGCTGTTAATTCCCCAGCACCTTATAGGGACCCTCTGTACAGTAGTTCTGAACCCTGCCCTATTCTGAACCCTGCCTTTTCCTGAGCCAGTGTCACTGACTTCCACACACATAATCCCATTGCCCCAGTTACCATGTCAATCTAGATCATGTGGAGTTTTCCTCTCCTGTGCTGTCCCTCCTCTCTGCCAAGCATGATGTCCTTCACCAAGAAGTGGTCCCACCTGGCCATGTGCCCAAAGTATATACAATGGATCTTCAAAATCCTTACCTCCAAGAACCTTGGTTTCACCCTCTCAGAGACAGACCTATTCTCTTGGTAGTCCATGCTATGTTCAATATTCTTCTCTAACACAACTCAAAGCCATCAATTCTGCCATCTATAGTCATTGTCCAGCTTTTGGATGCAAGCATATAATTGCAAAGACCATGGTCTGGGATCAGGTACACCTTCATTTCTAGACTGACATCATTGCTCCCCAGCACTGTGAAGAGGTCCCTGATAGTGGACTTCCCCAGTGCAGTCAGTCTTTTGAATTTTCTTTTTTTTTCTTTTTTAAATTTATTTTAATGAAAGTTTACAAAAACTTCAGATTTCCGTTTATTCATAGTTGCACACTTTCCTCCCTGCCCACTGCTCTCCCCCCCAGTTTGCTTTTCTCTTTGAAAAGTAAAAAAAAAAATTCATTGTTATTCAGACACACACACACTCCCCCCCTCTCCCAGTCCACTATGAAGCTTTCATTCTGGATTCTTGTCATAACAATTCCTAAGCAGTTCTCTCCCTCATCTATTTCAATGTAGTATACATTATTTATTCCCTCTAAGTTTCCCCACAACTCCCGTGTCAGTCCTGTTTTACAGAAGTGGCCCTATGCAGTATTTGTCCTTTTGTGACTGAGATATTTCACTCAGCATAATGTCCTCCAGGGTCACCCATTTTGTATAATATTTCATGAGTTCCTTGTTTTTCAATGCAGCATATCCATCGTGTGAATATATCACCTTCTCTAGCCATTCATTTGTTGATGGGCACTTAGATTGTTTCCAGGTCTTTGCTATTGTGAAGAAAACTGCAATAAACATGGGTGAGCATATATCTGTTTGGGTAGAAGTTCTGGTTTCTTTAGAGTATATTCCCAGTAGTGGAAATGCTGTGTCAAATGGTATTTCTATTTCCAACTTTTTTAGAAATCATCATACTGCCTTCCATAGTGGTTGCACCATTTTATACTCCCATCAACATTGAATAAGGATTCCAGTTTCTCAGCAACCTCGCTTTTATTTGTTGTTTGCTGTTCTGTTAAATCTTGCTATTCTTACTAGGGTGAGATGATATTGTTTTGATTTGCATCTCTCTTAGAGCTAGGTATTTTGAACATTTCTTCATGTTTTTGTATGTCATTGAATGTCTTCTTTGGTGAAGTATCTATTCATATCCTGTGCCCATTTTTCCAATTGGGTTGTTTTATTTAACTTGTTGTGGTGCTTGAGTATTTTATAAATTTTAGAAAGAATTCCCTTTTCAGACATGTCATTACCAAATACTTTTTCCCAGTCTGTGGCTTCCCTTTTTACTCTGTTGGAGAAATTTTTGGATGTACATAAGAGTTTTATTCTTAGAAGTTCCTATTAATCTATTTTTATCCTCTACTGGTTATAGACTTTTTCAGAATGCTTGGAAGACTGTTGATGTTGTGGATTAGGACATCTAGAGTTCTTCCAAGCTTTTCTTTAATAAAGTTTATAGTCCTTGGTTTTAGCCCTAGGTCCTTGATCCACTTTGAGTTGGTTTTTTTGAGTTTTTTGAGTTAGTGTACAGAGTGAGGTGTGGATCTTGCTTGAATTTTCTGCAGATAGTTTTCCAGTTTTGCCAACATCATTCTTTTAAAAGGCTGTAATTTCCCCACTTAACTGATTTCATCTCCTTGTCAAAAATCAGTTGACTGTTGGTATATGGGCTGATTTCTGGGTTCAGAATTCTAAACCATTAATCTATGCGTCTGTCATTGTACCAGTACCACACTGTCTTGAACACCACGGCACTGTAGTAGGATTTGAAATCATGGAGTGAGATGCCTCCTACCTTGTTTCTCTTTTTAAGGAGTGCTTTACTTATTCGGGGCTTCTTTCCATTCCAAATGAAACTGGAGATTGCCTTTTCCATCCTGTTGAAGAATGGGATTGATATTTGTATTGGGATTGCATTGCACGTATAAATTGCCTTTGGTAGTATTGCCATTTTCACAATATTGAGACTTCCTATCCATGAGCAAAGGATATTCTTCCACTTCTCAAGGTCTGTCTTTGTTTCTTGTAATAATGTTTTGTAATTTTCTTTGAATAGATCCTTTGTGCTTCTGGTTGCATTTACTTCCAAGTATTTAATCTTGTGATTAGCTATTGTGAAGGGTATTTTTTTCCTTAGCTCCAGCTGTGTATTCTCTTTGTCACTGTAGAGAAATCCAACTGATTTTTGTATGTTGATCTTGTATCTTACCACTTTGCTGAATTGGTCAACTGTCCAGTAGTTTTCTTGCTGAATCTTTAGGGTTTCTAAGTATACTATCATATCATCTGCATATGAGAGATAATTTTACCTCCTCTTTTCCAATTTGGGTACCTGCTATATCCATCCTTCTCTTGTCTTATTGTTATCACAAAGACTTTGAATACAATTGAGTAAGAGGTGATAGTGAGCATCCTTGCCTAGTTCCATTTGGTTTTTTGACTCCAAGTCTTTGCACATTTCATTTTAATACTTTCTCTTTTTTTGAACTCTTCTGTTCAGTCCTTTAAATTCATGATTTCATAATATGAAGCGTCTTTACATTCTAAAGTAAATTTCAGAGTGCCTTCTGGCATCCATTTTGGTTTGTCCACTGTTTTTTTTAACTGTTTCCTGTCTTGTCTTCTCCATCCCCCAAAGATAGTGAGACTTTTTATTAAGAAAACTAACAGTAATGCAGATTGCCTTTCAGAGATTTCTAACCTTTGTTTCATCAAGTACCTAGTATATAGGAAAGAGAAACAAGATGCAGATGGCATGTAATGATTTTTTTTTAAAAAAAAAATCTTAACCTAGTTATCACTTCATCAGTTTGGAAATTTTATAGCTTTATCTCTTTTTGTCATTTCAGACATCCTGATATCACCATAAAAACAGTTAAATATTCTTCTGTGATAACTCAAGCATGTTTTCCAAGTGCCAAGCATTCTATCTTGATTCTCTGGTCATTATTCTCAAATACAACACTGTACTCAAAGTTTAGGAAATTCTGATCGCCAAGCTCAGATTAAGAGTTTCATTACCAACATGAATTCATATAGTTTGAATCTAGTAGCTGTTGTGCACAAGAAAAATGGGCAGTTTCCTCCATGTGATTTACTGCCTATGAAAATCTTCTAGAGGGTCAATTATGGGTTGGTCTGACTTGATTTTTTTGATACATAACAACTACTCAAAGCTTGGCTGTCAGTTGCTCCATGTTAATCTGTAGAGATAGAAGAGTTTTCAAAGGCTTTTGTTTGGTACAGAATATTTCTTATCCCATAGGCCACCAGAGGAAATGTACCTTTGAGT